TCTGAAGAAACAAAAGAAGAACATATAAAGTTTATTAGATGGTTCCTAAAGAACAATACATATGTAAAAAACATCGACAAAGTATTCAAGAGAGGAAATCTGTGATTAGAAGTAGTTTTTGATTGTAATTATAGCAGAGATGAAGTTATACAAAGAATTAACAGAAAAGAGAGTGGTTGGTACAAGATGATACCAGAAGATAAAGAAAAGAAAGAAAGGGAAAAAGAAGAATCCAAAAACTACAAGAAAGAACAACAAGACAAAGAAAAACATACACCAAGTTTTAGAAAAGAGAAGGTTAAAGAAGACATTAACAGAGAAGAACCATACAAAGATGAATATAAGAAAGAAGAAAAACTTAGTAGCAATATGACTTATTTAACAATATGGGACCTACCAACTAATATAAACAAAAGAGAAGTAGAGTATATTTGCAGAAGAATTAAAGATGTGCAGATTATATGCATCGAAAGGTTTAAGTACAAAGCCTTAGCAGTAATACAAACATGAGGCATAGAGGAAGAAGATATTCCATGGTCATTGCCAGCTAACAATAATAAGCTGGTAAGAGTAACAAGAGAAAGAAAAGACTACAAAGCAAGAGAAAGACAAAGGAAACATATGGCCAAACTAACAGAGCTACCTGGAAATGCTTCAGAAGTCTTATTATTGTGATGCTTAAGAAGTAAAGGAGCAAAGTCAATATACATTCCACCAAACTGAAACAGGAACCAGAAGCGAACAGCACTGATTATTTTCGCAACAGAGGAAGATATGAGGGCAGCATAGTCAAAACCAATTATGTACAACAATTTTTAAGTATACTGGGTTAATGAAAGAAGAAGAGAGCCAAGAAGTAGAGAAAGTTTCAAGAATAGAAAAAAAAGAAGTTGAGATAGATTAAGCCAAAACTATAATGCAGAAGAAAACAAAAGTAAAAAAAGAAGTTATTGGAACAGAACATATACAAACAGAAAGAAAGATTAGGAAGACCCAAAACCAAAAATTCAAATAATAAAAGAAGAAAATAGCAACCTAAAACAGAATATGAAAAACCAAAGTAGATATAGAAGTATAGATAATAGAAAAGAAGAAAGTCGAGAGAAGAGAGAAATAAAGATAAGGTATAATAGCAAGAAAAGAACACATATATAAAAAATGTACTAGGCTGAATTTTAGAAAAACTAGAAAAACTAGAGAAAGTAGATAACTCGATAGAGGAAGGCATAGCCAACCACTTCTAAAGGCACCTTAGTTGAACTAATGAATATGGATAAGAAGATAAGAGAGTTTCTACAAGATGAAAGAAGAAGTTTTGAAAATAGAAGAGAGAAAACATATCCTCATCCAAGAGAAGAAAGAAGTAGGAACAGAAAGGGAAAAGAAAGAGGAGAAACAGCAAAGACAAGACAAGAACAACTAAAAGAAAAATGGAAAGAAGAAAGAAAGGAGATTAAAATAGCATGTTATAATGTTAATGGACTCAAAACCAAAGGATAGAAACTTGATAGTCTGCTAGGCTGGGCAGAAGAAGAAGAAGTCATAATACTAGGTATCACAGAAACAAACTTTACAAAAAGAGATGAAAGATTTCTAATGCAGACAACAAATAGAAAATATGTAGGATTTTGGTTAAGTGTAGCACAAGACAAGAAGAAGAGATCGGGTATAGAAATTATAGTTAGTAAACAATAGAAAAAACATGTAGATGCAGTCAAAAGGATAAACAAATATATAATAGAACTTATACTATACTTCAAGCAATTGGAGTTAGTAGTTTTAGGAGTCTATATACCACCAAGTGACAAGACAATAGGAAAAAACATTCAACAAAAAATCATAGAAATAGTCACCAAGAAGAGAAGACAAACACAAATAGTTATTTTAGATGATTTTAATCATACAGCAAATAATGTATTGGACAGACAATACCCACAAGCAGCAAACTTTAAAAGATTGCCAATTTTTAATTGGATAAAAAAGCAAAACTTTAGTGACAGTTACAGAGACATGTATTCAATAAGTCAAGAATTCACATGGTTAAATGGAGAAGCAGCAACAAAAATTAATTACATATGGATATCAGAGGAACTGGCCTCAGGTCTACAAAAGGCAAAAATTAAAGATGCAGAAGGAATTACTGAAAGTAATCATAAAATAGTAAAAATAGAAATATGAATTAAACATATGATGTTAAGAAATAGCAAAGCTGAAATCAAAAGAAAAAAACAATCAAGAACAGTATACTTATATGACCAAACAAAGAAAAAGAATTAGGAAAAGTATACACAAGAGTTGCAGAAACGATTAAAAGCAAAAGAGGTACTAAAGAACATTTAAAGGAAAGAAACAAAGAATATAAATAGCATATGGGACATATTAGAAAAAGCAATAATTATAGCAGCTAGTAAGCATCTGCCAAAGAAGAAGATATACAATATACTGACAAATAGAAGAAATAATCCAAAGAAGCGATATCAAGAGAAGAACATTATAAAGCTGCAAAGATTAATTAAGTAGGCAAAAACAAGAGAAGGTTAAGAAGTAACAAAAGAGAAAAGAACAGAAATAAATAAGAAACTATGAATAATAGAAAAAAAAGAAGGTGCAAGGCTGCCCAAACTACACAGGCAATGGTCAAGTGCCTAGATAGAAGACATAAGAGGTTGGCAGAAACTGTTATAAGAGAAAAAAAGAAAAGAATGAGAACAAAATCAAAGAAGACAAATAGAAGAAAACATAAACAAAAGATGTGAAATGATTAAAACAGATCAAGAGAAAATAATAGCCAGTCTGTTAAACAAACCCTACAAGAAGAAAATACTTGACAAAATTATTGAACAAGAAGAAGAGCTGATGAATCTAATAGTAGAACCAGAGTTAGTTAAGGTCAGTATAGCAGAACATTACTAAAAACAATTTAGAAAGAGAGATGCAAAACTTGAAGAAATGTTAGAAAGGTAAAAAGAAGTTTACAAGTCACAGGAACACATTAAAGAGGAATGGTATATAGAATTAGAGAACAGTATCAAAGAAAAGGAATAGGAAGAAGTACTGAGAGAACTTAAAATAGAAACAGCTCCAGGCATATCTGGTATAAGCTACATACTGATTAAATAAGCAGGAAAGAAAACACAAGAAGTCTTTAGAGCCTTTGCAGATCTCTGTTTGGAAAGAGGAAAGATATCAATCAAGTAAAAAATTGCACAAGTTTATCCAATACCAAGAATGGAGATACAGCTTAAACAATATTCACCCAATAGCTCTAATCAAAACATTTAGAAAAGTAATAACAAAAGTGATAACAAAAAGGCTTGCCAAGATGTTTATAGAAAGAGAAGTACTTAAGGAACTGAACTATGCAGGTCTACTAGGAAATTCAACAGAGCAGCTGGTGCATATCTTTAATATGATAATGAAAAAGGCAAAAAAAAAGAATAAAGAAGTATGGATACTGCTACAAGATATGAAGAAGGCATTCGATTCAGTTTCTCTCAAAAGTTTTGAAATGGCATTGCAAAGAGTCAAAATCCCTAGAAGAATAACAAAATACATCTTAAATCTTTTTCACAAAAGACAACTAAGGATAATTATAGCTTACAGCTTAACAAAGGAAGTAACAGCAGAAGACGGAATAGATCAAGACGAAGTAATATCACTATTAATATGATGCTTCTTCTATGATCCATTGTTAGAAAGAATACAAGAAGATGAAAGTCTAGAATATACAGTTGAGCAACAAATTAAAGAAGAGACACAATGCAATAATGTTGCAAGATTCTGCCAGGCAGTAGGTAGCAATATATATATATATTGCTACCTACTTACATTAGGTTGTTACCTACTTATGAGAATGACGATCAATTCATATTTGCGTCATCACTCGAATGATGAATGATTCATAATTGCGTCGTCATTCGAGTGACGATTAGTTCACGAGTTCGTCATCATTTGAGTGATGATTAGTTCCCAAGTTCGTCGTCATTCGAGTGACGATTAGTTCACGAGTCTGTTGTCGTAATGAACAATTCATGCTTGTGTCATCATTTGAGTGATGAACAATTCACGCTTGAGTCGTCATTCGAGTAACGAACGATTCGCGCTTGCGTCGTCATTTGAGTGACGATTGGTTTACGAGTTCGTTGTCACACTTGGGTACCCACAACCTATAAAAAAATATGACAACAAATTTGTAATCATGTCGTCACACTTGGATATCCCACGATCTATAAAAAATATGACGACAATTTTACGTTTATGTTATCACACTTCTGCTATCAGATATGCTATATACACATTATCTGGGCATGCTACATTCACACTATTAGGTATGCTATCATATGCTATCGGGTATGCTATATTTCTGCTATCGGGTATGCTATATTCACATTATCTGAACTGCTATCAAATATGCATCGCTTAATTGCTATCAGCTATGCTATCTGGCCATGTTATCGTGTAAATGCTATCGGATATGTTATATATAGTGGAGTTAGTATCTCTGACACATAAGAGGGTGGGTATATAACATTATTTTTTACTATAAATAAATCTGAAGTTTTCTACCGTGACATATACCCAAAACATATCATTGAAAGGATATTCTTCTGCCATTTTTCTTATAATATATTATCGCACTTAAATACCCTTGATGATATACATGTGAAAACATACCTGAAAACATATCATTGAAAGGGTATTCTTCTGCCATTTTTCTTATAATATATTACCGCACTTGAATACCCCGAACACATATCATCGCATCGAAACGGGTATATAACTTCTATAATTCTTATAATATATTACCGAACTTATATACCCAAAGTATTCACTAATCGAGATTGCAATTCTCTTCATTTATCTCACTAAAACTCGATGCAATTTTTTTGACATCTCTTACCAGGCATGAAAAAAAATAATTTAAACTTTTCTAAACTATTTTGTAATAATATAATCGAACAAAGATTGATACATACCAATAAAAAAACCAAATACCAAAAATGAGTAAACAAAGTGCACAAGTGATCCGGTACAAAGGTGGGGAAACCGTAACAGGGGTTCCAACTCGCAATGATATTTCGAAATGTGATAATGGGTTAACAGCTATACTTCAACAAAGCTTATCTGAAAAAAAACCTATACACTTTATGCCCAATGATGTGGAAGACGCTTTTGAGTATATTAATAATGTACAAACATATATTTTATGTATTCATGGCCTTCTAATTAATGGACAAAAGGCTAGAGTAGATATCACGAGCATTAAACTTTTCTTCGATGTTATTGTTCCAGATAATGAACCTTTATCTATATTCAAACCAAGATTAGTAAAAATTATATTTGGGGCAGAAAAGATTGATAAATTAAAGTTTGAAATGAAAGTCGTCCACGCATATCCAATTTGTGGATATCATATTCAGGAAAAGGTATACATCCGCATTATTACATGGAATCATTATGATAGAAGACGAATTTTGAGGGAGGTCCGTAGGTATGAGATGGGGACTGCTTCAGACGATGATACCAGCAAACATTATCACTGAAAAATAGCTTGTGAAAAAAAGTTACCTCTTTCTGAGAGGGTGATACTAAGTGGGTATAACTATATTTCTGATATGGATTCGCCACATTATTCCTATTCTTTTCGCGTATCTGTAGATAATTATCAGTCTCTAGAAGAAAACAAGCCAGATGATCAGGTAATAACTGAAGCTCTCTCACACGATCACACTCTTGTCCTTACGTGGGATATAGAAACATACAGTGCCCGCAAAATGGGAGATCTACCTAATGCAAAAAATGATGAAGATCAAGTATTTATGATCTGTATGACCGTTCATTGGAAAGATGATCCCAAACCATTAAAGCGAATATGTTTAGTTGATGTGAAAACAAAGCCTGATCCCAGCTGGATCACAATTGTATGTAGAAACCAGACTAATATACTGAAGGCATTTGCATTATGTTGGAAAAATTTAACTCCTGATATACAGATAGGTTTTAATAATTCGCAGTATGATTGGCCTTTTGTTATAGAAAAAGCTAAAAGTTTAGGCATTCTTGAATGGATATTCAATCACATGTCACCCGACTCATCCAACATTGAAGAAATTATAAAATAGAAATATCGAAAAAGTGAGATAAAGATATCTGATGAGAAATTCTACTCAAAGTATCTCAAAATCCCAGGATGTATACCTATTGATGTTCGTGCTTGTTTCAAAAAATTATATCCAAAATCAGAGGGAAGTTCACTGAAATATTATCTAAATATCTGTGGGTTGGATAGTAAGGCAGATATGCCTTATAATAAAATGTGGAAATACTATGAAGATGCTATACTTCAAAACTCTGACAGCTCAGCCAAAACATGCGTGAAATAGCCCATTATTGTATTATAGATGCATTGCGATGCCAGAAGCTTATGGTTAAGCGTAATGTAGTTAATGATTATCGGAAGGTGTCATCTATTGCATATATTTCTCTTTCCGATGCTCACTATTTCGCAAGAGATATGAAAGTATGTAATCTTTTGGGAGCTGAAGCTTGAGGCAGTAATATGTTATGTAGTATGATTGCTTCAGAAAATACAGAATCTGGTAAGTATCCAGGAGCTTATGTTATTACACTGATAAAGGGTCTCGAAAACAAATGTCCAGTAACAGGCTTAGATTTTGCCTCCTTATACCCAAGTCTTATAATGACTTACAACCTTTCACCAGATAAAATAATATTATCTCGTGAAAAGGCGATAAATGTAATTCGCAGTGGAAAGAAGATCTACATGATTAAGTTTCTATTCAATGGTCAAACTATAGAAGCTTGGTCCATTCGCCACAATAATATACCCGAAGAAAAAGGTTTATATGCTAGAGTATTGGAGAATCTGTTTAATAAACAAAAGAAAATGAAAAAATACCTTAATAAATTAGATGAAGAAAGTTTTGAATATAGTTGCTTAAACTCAAAACAAAAGACAGTAAAATTATATATGAATACATTTTATAGTGAGGCAGGTAATAATCTCTCTCCATTCTATCAACTGCAGTTAGCAGGTGGAGTTACTTCTGCTAGACAGCGTAATATTAAATTTGTTAAAAAATTTGTTAAAGACAAAGGGTTCGGCGTTAAATATGAAGATACCGATTCTTTATATCTTACATGTCCAGAGGAGTGTTTCCAGGAATGTGATCGAAAATATAAATTAGATCAACTCTCACAAGAAGAGTACTGGGAGGAAATGGTAAAAATATCTATGGAAGTGATGGCAAACCTTTATAATGAAGTAAATACTAAGCTTGAAAAAGACAATGGAACGCCTTACCTTAATATGGCATATGAGGAGGTCTTATTTCCTGTAGTATTTACAGGAAAGAAAAAATACTATGGTCTAGAGCATAAAAATAAACCAAACTTTAATCCAGGTAAGCTTTTTATTAGAGAGGTGGATATTGTGAAAAGAGGTCAATCTAAGCTCTTTCGTGATGTAGATAAGGAAATTATGAATAGAACTTTGAAAGTCGGTAATGAGGAGACAATATACCAGATTGTTGAAAAAGTTCTTTGGAAAAATGTGGAAAAACTTTCCAAGTTAGATTATGATGAATTTATTCAGACATGTATATGGAGGCCTAAAAAGGAAGGTAAGCAGGAAAATATTTCTGTAGAATGGTTTGTTTCACGAATGGAGGCTAAGTATTCTTGTGAAGTATTGGAAAATCAACAGCTTATAAAGAAGGGTTTACATGCTAACGAATGCCTATATAAAGTCTCCAAACCCGGTGAACAATTTAGTTACATTGTAGTAGTACCTGAAGAGATTTATGATAACTGCGGGAAAAAAATACCACAACAAAAAGGAAACTGTATGGAATACCCAGATGTGATAAAAAAGTTCAACAAGAAAATAAATATTGATTATTATATTGAAAGTCTATTTGGTCTCTGTGCCCGTTTTATAAATTATGATGATAAATATCAACCATCACCTGAATCCCTCTCAAAAGCCATGGATCGCAAAAAGAAATCCAAGGAGAAGAAATTAAAAATTGCTAAGGATTTATTGCAAAGCAGGCTATTAGGCGATTCTCTGAATCATGACTCTCCAAGTCTAGATGAGGATGAAATAGCAAAAATTAAAGATGAAGAGTAACAGAAGTTGGCTAAAAAATGGCTCAAAAATTATATTAAAAACTTACGTGATGCACCGAAAAAAGATGAAGCTATTATCTCCCATTTATGGAAAAATGCTATTACTCAAGTTGAAAAAATATGTTCTAGTATTAGTGGAGCTAGCATAACCAGATCTTCAGGCGTCACTGCGGAGCATAATAATTACCTTAATATATTAAACAAAATTACAGACTCCACTCGTTCGAAATTATTGAATCTACTTTCAAAATTGTCTAAGCTTAATGTGGGATATAGAAATGCAATGTATGATTTAATTACGCAGGTGCAAAAATGCAAACCCAAAATTACAATTCTGGAATAATATATATTTCTATATGATTTGGAATCAGAGTGTCGAGAATTAATAGATTTCCGGAATACATGGTATAAGGTGGTTGGCCTTGAAATTACCCGGCTTCAAGTATTATCAATCACATATGGCAGTAAAAAAGATGACCCATCAGACATTGATGATACCACTGACCTATATTGTAAGTATTCTTAGCTAAGATCGCCACAATCTACTAAGATATTTATACAATATTAATAATATTTTTTCATACATAAATAATATCCAAGTTTAAATAGATGTTCACCCAATCCACATATCCTGCAATTGATCACTTTTTTTATGACCCTTTAGAGTCACTCCTTCGGGCCTGTGGAGCAATGGCACTTCGAGCCTACCTATATTTCATGTATATCTCACGAACCATATAACTGCGATAATCAACAAAATAAGAAAAATATATGCTGATAGAGGTGATATTAAAGTACTTGCTACAATAAGGACCACTCCTATTCCTTCTATTGGAATCTGGGAATTCGATTTAATCAATGAGGATATGTGTGCTTTAGCACCAGCTCTGCTGTTATTTTCCGGCAGTTATAAAGTACTTTGTGATATTTTTATTATATAGTTTTTATATTCTACTTTTTTACATTAAATGTATTAGAAAAAAATCTGAAAAATCATATAACTTCGATCATATTATAAAAATGCAAGATTATAACGAGATTGATACCAAAGCTTTTACATATGCCAAAAGACGTGAAGGGGAATGCTTGACTAAAGCTAGATCCAATGCAGATATTTATTTGTGGTCATGCAAAAATCAACATCAATAGGAAGCATTCTATAAAGATATGAAGCAGAATTATGGATGGTGTAATAGTTGTCCCTATATATTTGAGCGAAGATGTCAATATATATTCGAAGAATTATTATATAAGAAATTTCCACCTCGAAAACCCAAATTTTTAAAAGGTTTACAGCTTGATAGGTATAATGAGAAATTACATTTGGCCTTTGAATACAGTGGCAATCAACCTTTTCAAATCGTTCTTTTTTTCCATCTACAAAAACAAATTAATTTAGATGCACAAATTCAACGTGATTGGAAGAAGAGAGCACTCTGTTTTAAGGAAGGTATAATTCTTATCACAATTCCTTATTGTGTTGTTGATCTGCCAACTTTCATCAAGAGTGCCTTGAATGTATTTGGTTTCTTCCCAATACCCACCTAGGAGGTAAATGCGCATCCTTTACAATTTAAAGTTCTTCTCTTATGAATGGGCATCTTGGACTATTATGTAGCTTGTAAAGAACTGGCTGGTTATTTTTTCTTGAAAATGATTCGATCAAAAAAATTTCAGGAGACCAGTTACAATCAGTAGCCCTCTTTCTCCAACCTTCTAGTTCACCAGGTTCTAATAGATGCCGAACTTTAACATCAGATAATAGGAGGGGTTCATCATAACCTATAGGCCTTTTGTGCTTGACAGTTGGATCTGCAAAGATTTTCTTACCTTCTAATGATTTTTTTACAGCTTCATTGGACGATATGTGTATTAACTTCGTAAGGGAATCATTATATTTATCATCGTTAATATGAAGGCTGACAACCCACTCCCTAGATCTATCAGTCAATGGTAAATATAAGTCCATAGCATCTTGGCGAAAAAAGACATGCTTTTCAAATTCTTGGTGATCTTGCTCAGCGATAGCCATACTTCGTTTAGATTTAGCATACTGAATTCTCATGCCATGTCTGAGAAATAAATCCCTACACTCACCCATATATTCAGTTCCTTTATCCACGATTAAAACTTTTGGCCAGCTAAGTGGGCAATTTGGATCATTATAAATTTTCCGAATCTCTCTAGCCATTTGCGTAGCTGTTTTATCAGTCAAAGTGAAACTGTGCCGATATCTAGTTGCAATATCCTTTATTACTCCTTGGTATTTATAAGTTTGATTGCCAACTTTATCATGAGGCATAGGTGTAGTATCAGACTGGTGTACTTTATTTAATATTCGTACATTGTTAAAAGAAGCATATTGGATAAATTTTGGCCTAGACTTATGGATCTGATATAAGGCCTGTTTGTTAAGCCAATTTTTTATTATAGCCAAAGTGAACTCATATTCTGCCTTCTTACAAGCATCCTGCATTTTTTCAGCTGTCCGATAATAACCTTCAGGCCTATAATAAATTTTTTGCAAAGTAATCTCTCTATCCAAATCATGGGCCCTTTGTGGGTCAATATAAATTATCGGTTTCTTCATTCCTTTGTTTTATTATAGTAATAAAAACAATGGATGAGTTACAACAAACCAACCAAGAACTCTATGAGGTGGTATCGCAATTAGCTGAATCAAATAGGAATTTTGAACAGTGTCTATATACCTTAGAAAGAGTTATAGATATACGGGAAGAGATAATACGATTTCTTGAAGAAGATTTAAATAATGCTATTGAACTCTCTACACAAGAAAAAGAAGAATTAATAGAAGAAATTTTAAAATTAAAAAGAATCATTCACCAACTCGAGGAAGAAAATAAAAAGAAAGACAAAGAAATTTCTAATAAAGATAGATTAATATCAGAATTCGATAAACGTGAAACAAAATTAAAAACCCGAATACGAGAGATATCTAAATCGGCTGGAAATACACCTAAAGTACAAGATTATACAACCAGATTAGTAGATGAAAATGAACGCCTTAAACGAGAAATAAATACAATAAGGGTTAATCAAATAAATAGGATTAATAAAATAAATCAGCAAAAAAA